CTCCCCACTCCATTTCCCCCGCCCCACCCCCCCTTCTTAATTTAAAGATCATTGACACGATAGTCTGTAATGAGTCCTTCAGAAACTGTTATGATCTGCAGTGACAATCTCTGCTCCTAATTCACAGATTATTGACAAGCACCCTGGGCTCAGTGGTGTCAAGTTGTACTTGTGGTTTCAACACCCTTCAACAACCCACATAGCAGCTGGGCCTTGGATCAGGACCCACAGTCTGGCAGTGCTTATCTGCAGGTCTGAGTGGTGGAGAGATGAGTATCTACCTATACCTCAGCTTCTTCAAGCCTGGCTGGGCTTTCTCTTTGGTGCCTTCCTCTGTCTCAGGGTTGGATCAAGAGAACTAAAGGATCTTTAAAGTGGTTTTTTTTTTTTTAAGTAAAAGAACAAACCTAATAAAATAAATGAAGTCTCATCCTTGTATCTTGATAATTACTTTTTTTTTCTTTTTATCCCCAAATTGCTACCAATCTTCAAGACATATATACCAGTTTTCAAAGTGAGGCTTGGGTTCACCAGGAAAAGTATGAGGGGTGAGGGGAGAGGGTGCTGAGGACTTGGCAATGGCTCAGTGGGCCTAAGCTAGGCTGGCCCATCCTCCTGGATGGCCCTCAGAATCCGGCAAGATTGGCCACTTACAAAGCAGGGCGCCCAGCCAGCAGGCACGGACTCAGGCCTGGATGCTAGGACAGGAGAGCAAAAATGCCCACCCCGCCCCTAAAGGGCGCTTTGCTGCTGGGGAGAAACGAGGCCGGTTGCCAGCCGTTGTCGCTTTGCCTGCTACTAAGGACTCAGTCACTCGCTGCCCCCTCCCCAGTCCCCACAGATGGAAGGATTGCCTTCCTGCTGGCCGCCTTGGGGCGTGGGATTCCGGCAGGGGCTTGAGGTCGCTTGAAACCACAGAAATGACTATCGCTGGGAGAGCTGGGTGGCATCCCAGGCCTAGGCCACCCACTTGTTTAGTTCTCTTTCCTAAATTAGGGCTCTCATTTTCTCCTCGCTTCTTGGGAAATCGGGGACTCACTGTCCACCGCCAGCCCACAGCCCTCTGCAGTTCCTCCCCTTGCCTGCTCCCTACAGGTTAGGATCTCTGGGAGAGGGCAAAACCGAGTTTGGGGAGTGGGAAACTCCCGCACTCTGCCACTGCAAATTCCACATCACTTCCCTTCGCGGGTTGCCTCCAATATTCTGCTGGCTCTGGCCTCCCCACGCCGCGAGCTTCCTTGGACAACGGCTGTTAGCGCACCGTTTGTTACCTTACGGGGTTGGTGCTGGTTCACAAAGCTGGCCCGGCCTTAATATTTCTGCTATGGGAATTAGTCTTTTAGTAAAGCAAAAGGTGGGGATGTCAGTAGCAGGGAATACCAATCGCCATTCATTTCGATAAAATTCCGGGTCAAAATGAATCAAAATGGATGCTTTTCCTGACACTGTATCCGAATTCATTTATTGTGAACTATAAACTGAAATTAGATTCTGGAATCAGATGGAGAAGGCTTCTGTCATAGCAACGATCAGTAATTCCCCTGAAAACAATCTCGGATCTGCTGATTTAGGGAGGAGGGAGGAATAAGCCTTAAAAATCAACGTAAATAACTTAAGTAGCCACCGTATTAAATATATTTTAAAAGTCACTCTGTTAGGAGAATTAAGTTGATTCCCTTCAATAGCCGTTCTTATTTTGTTTTAAAGGCCAAGTTCTAAACTTCGTAAGATTTTTATCTAAAAGTTAAACTTCTAAATCAATCCTTGTAGATCGAATTCAAGAAACACCTTGTGGAGATCAAATGTTCACTCAGCACACGAATTAATTGTTTCAATCGGATTTTAAATAACTAAAGAAAACCTTATTCCCCCATTGTTTTAAATTCAGAGGATACGATGTCATTTTTATAGCTAAGTTTCCTGAAAGAATACAAAGTGTATACTTACCCTCACTTGCTAATCAAAGAAAAAGGTCAAAGCTCTTCCTTACGTACACAGGTAATTTTTGGAAACGTAATTTTTGGTTGGATGCCTGGCCCATGAAAATGCCGAATTTTAAAGAAAATACTCTTCAACAATCAGACACCTTACCTGAAATTCTACGGCTAAGATAAAAGAAGAAAGGTGTCAGGCACCTGTTTCTCAAACAATATCGCTAGCCGGGAAAGGAAAAGTTTGATCAAGATTGGTTTGGGGGATGGGCGACATGTAAAGACGAGATTGTACTTTTAATTACACGTTCGACATAAGTTAAAAAGGGTGCGCTATTTCACTCGCTCAGTTACAATACTTGAAGGACCGAGAATGTTCAACTTGTGCGCTGACAACGTGCAGACAGCCTCTTTTTATTTTTTAAAATGTGAACAGAACGGGAGAAGTGACTTTTCCACCACTGTTACAGAGGAAATATTCTCTCTTTTAAAAAACCTTGTTTCTGTACCTGTAAGATTATCGCATAATCTCTAAAAGAGTCCCAAACCCAGATGCGGGTAGGGAGTGGGTGGGATGTCAGAAAGGGGAACAGGTTAGTCTTTGTTTATTTTTTAGTTTTAGTTGTATTACCTCCTTTTTATTTTTTACTGAATTAAAATTATATTATCACTCAAGGATATAAAAACTTGTTTCCTCACCCAATCTCCTTTTTAGAGGGCAATAAAGAGTTTTATCTAACCCCAGAGCAAGGTTCTAGCGATTTCCAGGACTGGCGCTGCGCAGCTCCTACTGTGTCCAACAGGGGGCGCTGGGCACGAACCTGCGCCGCGGCTCAGCGCCGCTTCACATCTGAGCCGGGTTCTAGCCCCGGAAGGCGAGAGCCGCTGGCGGGGTCGAGTACAGAGCTTTAGTCTTCGTGGATAAAAAGAGATTAAAGGCTAAATTCTTTTTTGGGTGTGTGTGTGTGTGTGTGTGTGTGTGTGTGTATGGGGGGGGGTTATCAATTTTAACCAACTACGAAAATGTAGAGCTTTTTATCCTTTGATGTTCTCATAAAGAAACTCCTATCGGTTGAGGAATTACACGGTTTCTGAGCCAACACTGCAGCTACAGTGTGGGAGAAATTATTTAATTAAAAATATATTTTTCCATCTGTTCATATGATCTTTTTAGAAATACTTAAAAAGCTGACACTGATCCCTTTGGCCTGTTAACCCTGCCCCAAGTTTCAAATACTTTTTGCTATTTCGAAGGCCCTTCTATTAATTTGAAGGGGAAAGAAAGAGACCCAAATATTTAAATCCCCCCCTAAACAGTTACTCCTCTGCATCCCCTTTTTTTTTCTTTCTTTTAACAGGGGCTTTGATGTGACTGACACATTTCACGTTGCCGATTGTGCAAAGCCAGGTATAAATGACAAGAAGCAGCATTTTAAAAAAAATCTGGTGTTGGACTACATAACACCCATGTATAAGATGAAATCTAAATAAAATTGTAACCCACCCACCCCCACCCCAACTTAAAAAAAAAAAAACAACAAACCTTCACCTGTATTTAAATAGCGTGTCTTTAATTACAGCAGTTGGGGATGCATGAGGCTGAAATGAAATTAGCAGTCATTACCAGTCCTTTAACTCTGTGGTGCTTTTGATCAGCACTAAATTAGCTTTCCAGTCCTAACAAAGACTCTACAGCAAGCAGTGGGCTGTAAATAAGACAGCGCGACCTGCCCTCAACACCTTTTCTCTTGTCAATCATAGCTCTATCATTCAGCCCAAGATTAACCTTTATCTACCAAATTTAAAAAAAAAGAATGAAAGAAAGAAGAAAAAGAAAAAAGAAAAAGGAGGCGGGAAGGAAAGCCCCCTGACCAGCACATGTCGCAATAACAGAGGTTTCTAAGAGCCCCCTTTAAATTGTATTATAATGAGCCCGTGTCAGAATCTGCAATTTCCAAATCATCCCTCCCCACCCCACCCCCTTCACCTCTGCAGTATATTAGAGGCGCCGGGATGCAGTTCAGGTAGGAAAGGAATTCCTTCCCCCCAATTACTAATTGGGCATGGGCCACCCTCCATAAGTCAATTTGCCATTAGCCGCTCCTCCTTTATTAGTCTAGAAAAATTTCGGGAGAGGAGGGGAGGTTTGAAGAGAAAACATTAATAATTTTAAAGCATAGACATAAGTTTCTGGGATTAAAAACAATCAATTTATTCCACGAATAGTCCTTAGTTTCTAAATCTGCGGAGAAAAAAACCACCAACTGCAACAACAAAAACCCAGCTGCTTTTCCCAGCAACGAATTAAAAAAGTAAAACATTGGTTCAAGTCGCCATTAGAGGGCGCCAGAGAGCAAGCCCCATCACCCCTCGCACAACTTCACACAGAAGCCCTCCTAGCGTCCGGCTTCAACACGCTCTCTAATTCCTTCTCTCAGGTATTATTTCCTGCTTACCCTGTCCTCTTGCATTCTCAATGTCAATCTCTCATAAGATATCGAGGTGTCACCATGTGTCCGCTTCCTTTTTTTTTTTTCAATCCCCATCCCACCAAAATAGTAAGAAGCCAGAAAATTGGAGCTTTAATTATGTATGTAATTTTTGCCTCAAACCACTTCTTCTACTATGTGACCTTGGTTTAGGGAAGGTTCTTTGTAGGGGTGAGTGCTAGAATTTAATATTTTAAACATGGAGGCCTGAATTTATCATCTGTGCATTTCTCTCTGGAGTATCACAGGTTTCTGCATTTTCATGGGAAATAAACCACACAACACCCTTGCAAGTGCTGATTATGTTCAGCACTAAAACTGTTCAGAGGAGAATAAAATAATGTCACTTCCTTTCTGCATTTGTTAAAGAAATCAAAACTAGTATTTAACTTAAAAAGTTAATACTTTCAGACTTAAATCTGTCTGTGTTAAATGATTGCCACACAGGATGTATTTCCAGATCTCTTAAAGGTCAAAAGAAAAAAATAGAATGAGGGGAAGAAAGTGAGTTGTGGGGAGGGGGGGGGCGGAGAGGAGTGAGCTAGCAGTGAATGTCAAAGTTGGGTTGCAAGCTACTTACATGTCCATGCCAGATCAGGGTGTTGTCTTGTAGCAGTTTGATTGGCAGGTAAAAAAGCGAAAGAACGTGAGGGCTCCCTGAGCCTCTTGTCAGCCCAAGCTTGATCACTTCTCACCGGACAGAACGAGTTGAAGGAGCTTGCAATTCTCCTCTCATCCTCCATCCAAGGCACTGTGAATCCATTTCGGCTTTTCTTCCCCTCAGCCTCTCCATCAGCCTCCTGCCTTCACCCGCTTCGCCTTACACCAGCCTCCAAGACCTAGCCTAGCTTTGCCACTGCAATCCCCTGCAACAAGAAAAATCGTTTATGGCTTAAAACCCCAAATGGCTGATTTTTTAAAAGAGAGAGAGAGAGAGAGAGGGAGAGGGAGAGGAGAGAGAGGGTGAGGGGGAGAGAGGGGGAGCGAGAAGAATGCACCCAGAGAACAACAAAAAAGTCAGTTATCCTAACACTGCTCTATCCCCCCACCGTACAGAAGAAGAATAAAAAAAAAAAGCTTTATGTTTTTTCAGTGGGTATTCAAAGATAATTTGATGCCATTGTTTCTGCTACAGATGGTTCTTTTAAATACAATAACACGGCTCTTTGTGCAGGCTACCCACAATAAAAATCGAAAGCGTTCCCCTGAATAACCATTTTGTTCTCTCTTGTATGGGGCCAACAAAAGATGCCGTGAGGTAATGGGTTCTGTTTATTGAAGCCATAGAATAGAGGTTTGATAAAGATTTTTTTTAAAGCAGAAGACCTTGCAAGGTCGGGCTGATCTCTTCATATTTTTTTTTATTAAAAATATTTGTCCAATAGATTATTTCTTGGTGCAGCTGCAGGTTTCCTTCTCAATTCTTAATCAGCCTAAACATCTGTCTCTTTGAGGAGGTTTAAAAAAATCTGCAATTGTATCAGTGGTGCAGTAACCTTATCAAATCCTGAGTTTTTAGGCTCAGTGCAGGCATAGGCAATGGAGTTTCAGTTCTATTTGGTCCTGATGGAGCGAGGCAGGAGGGTTGGAAGAGAGGAGATACAACACCCCCAGATAGAATGCCTGAAGAAAAGGAGGCATCCCCCTCCCCTTGTTGACCATATATAAGCCAGACACAGATCACTGAGGACTTGAGGTACGTCTTTTGGGCTCAGCAAGCTCTCCCTTGTGTGTGCATGCTAGATATGTTTTCTTACCATGTGTGCCCTGTCATTTGGCTAGGTCTCCAATCCCTGAAAACTGATGGGCACCCAAGGGGAGGAGTGGAGGAAGCTAAAGGTTAGTCTCTAGCACCCAAAGGGTCCTCCTACTCTTGGCTCTCATTCATGGTTTGCTAGTTTGGACTCGATTGCTATTCTGCCAGGGGACTGGTGGCTGGGGCCCTCCTGTTAGAGTGCACAAACCCCTAAGGCTTGTTCTTACAACCACCCAGCTTCCACCTTAACTCCACAGAAAACATCTGCTTCCGCTTGCTTGGGAAGCCCTGCCACCTAGACCAAGCTAAGGTCTGTATGAACTTGGAAAAGCCTGGAGTCTCTAGACAATGAGGGTGTTGCAGGGGAAAGCTGTTAATAGACGCTAGGTTTAGCCATCTTCCTATAGGAATGAATACCAGTGTTCTCTAGGCTTCCAGTACCCTAGAATGACAGTAATCCACTTTCATGAATCTGCTCTGTGTGCAGAACAATAGTTGTGGAAAATAGCTTTAGTCTTAAAAGCAAGTTTTCATTGGGTTCTCTATCTCTGCCCCCTGCCCCATCTACCTTTTTTTCCCCACAAATTATTCAAAATTAAAGAAAGACAGATGTTCAAAGGAATCCCTTAGCAAACTCATCTTAACTTCTACTTTTCCTATTGGAAATAATGTTATTGGTTTATAATTGGTTTAGATGTCATCTAGTAAGGGATTTTTAGGGACTAGTTGTTTAGACACCAATTAAAGCCTTTTCTAAGAAACTTGAAAAACAAACAAAACAGAAAATTCAACATTTTTTCACATGGATTTGTCTCAAACAGTAATTTTTATCTCAGGATGAACAAGGACAGCCAGAGCAAAACTAAAAAAACATGCACATCTCAACACTGGCGAGATCAAGAAGAATGTGCCTGTACCAGTGTGAGTGTGTTGGGGGACAAGGAGAAAGGACAGTAGAAATAAAAAATGATTTTTCCTAGATTAGGTTAGGAAGTGTGTATTTGTTACCCTTGGCATTACAGAAAAGGAGGGGAACGATGCAAAATGAAAAGTCAACAGTAGAGAACTTCTCCCATCTGCAGGTGGAGGGGGAGAGGGCAATTGTAAAACTGTTAAATCCAGTATTTCCTAACTCTGCACTATAAAACTTTGCAGTGGATTGATTCCTTGTGCTTCCCTTGCCATATATTTTTCCTAATATTAAAACTTATAAAGGATGCCTCAATCTGGTAAAAGGTATCTTTCCTTTTTGAAATTAACTGAAAGAATAACCTGAGTTCTGGTCCTCTCTCCAATGAGGGAGGAGTTGGGGCCTCAGGCAAAGTCTATGAAATAGGAGCATCCCTGCATCAGCCTGAGGTGAGTACAGGTGTGCCAACCTTGTGCATCTTCTCACTTGCACCTACTTAGTCTCAATCACAAGGAAATTTAAAATCTCCCAAGTTGCTTTACTCCCTTGTGAAGAATCAGGAGATTCAAGAGTTGTCTTAAAACGCTAATATAATGCCATAATAACTGACACGGGGAAAGATTTGAACCTTTAACTAAGAAATGTAGGATATGTGTCAACAAGAAAGGCCAAAGTGGCAAACTCCTTTGGGTGTCAGGGAATCATGAACCAATGTCTACAACTGGAAAGCTGCTTTTAAAACAACCTCTTCCTGTTTGCAGAAAAACAGTTTCATAAGCGGACTGGTTAGCTTTTCTCTCATTGGAAGAAAAGAGAAAACACACCACCAAAATGTTTTCTGGTTATAGGAACAGCTTTTTGACAAGGTTGGGGAATTCCTGTGATCCCATTTAAGGTCGTTTATGGGTGACTGTGAATCGGAAACTCAACTATTCAAAAGAGCTTTGAGGTCACAGCTGAGCTCTGCAATTTTACAAGCACAAGTTATCCTGTTGAGATGTTGGGGTTTACCACCTCCCACCACATACACACACACACACACACACACACACACTCCAGCGAGAGTGGCACTTAGCTGGAAGCACTAAGTCTGGAGGAGGGAGGGGAGAGGGAAGGAAGAGTGTAGGAAGGAAGGGAGGGGAGGAAGGACGGAAAAGAGGGAAAGCTAAGGTAGAGAGCGGGTAGAAAGGCATTAAACCCACTAATGGCAGAGGACCCTACCCAGGAAACACTAGAGGGATGATTAGGATCTGGAGGTTCCAGGGAGCCAATGACCATACAAATCACGAGTTTCACAGAGAGGGCATCGGGTGCCCTGCTTTAGTCATCAACTGCTGTGAAAGCTGTAGTTTCTCTCTTCCTCAGCAAGTGCTCCTCACTACTGGCCGCTTCTACCCTCTCCACCCAAGTGGGAATAAGCCGGTCTCGGACAGCTGGGGTCCAGGATCCTGGGGGCCTGGTTCTCGCTCTCCAAGCGCGGCCTCCTCCCCGGCTCAGGCTGTTGGGATCGCGGGCCGCCCCTGGGGAGCGGCGGCTGAGCAGCGGACTATCCCCCTCCTCAGCGGACCGCCCTCCACCCCTGCGGGGAAGCGGGGCTCCCAACACGACCGCCTCCGCTTCCCGGTCTGTGCAGGGTCTGGCTGCCAGCGCTATTACATAGGCCGCACGGGCCCCTGAACTTGCGGCTCCCGTCAAGTCGCCCAAGACGATTCAATTATTCACTTAGACAGAACCAGACGGCGCCGCAGCGCCATTTGACGCTCACTCCAGAGCGCGGGGCGTGGTGTGTGTGTGGGGGGAGCACTGACAGGCAGACGCCTCTGCCCTGCGCCGCCCGGGTGTAGGTAGGGGGCGGGCCGGGTTTCAGTCCAAACTGTTGAGATTCCAAAATTTCACCCGAGCGCGCGGCCAAATGGAAAGCCTCATTTCAAAGCGTATATAATAAACTTCTAGCCAGAGTCTCAGACTTCCATCCTCTCCTTGGTCAGCGGAAACCCGAGGTTTACTGGGTCCGCGGCCGA